AAATTGTCTTCAAGTATGTCTGATACATTAGTAAATTTTTTCCGACTGACATCAGAGTACAGGCACCAAGAGGGCAGGAACTTCTGTGTTTTATTCACTGCTTTGCTACCAGCCAATACCATTGCTTTGCTATCGTGCTGGCAAATTAAGGTGACGCTCCCAGGAATTTTCAAGCGAAGAACAGACACCATGTGAGCAAGACTGCAACGAGCACTGCAACTCCCCCTCCTCTTCCCCTTAGTCTTAGGTTCCAGGGGCTGCTATGTGGGGAGCTCTGCTCCCCGCTTCCTAGGGCGCAGCACCTTCTAGGGTTTTAACTCCAGGCAGGGGTCTCTGTCCCAGCCTCCCTGAGTTCTGTCAGGTCATGTCTCTTGCTGGTCACGTCCCACAGTCTACTGGTGAGGCTAAGAGCCAAGGCGATAACCTCCTGGGTCTGAGTAGCGATCAGCTCCCGAGTTTACTACTCTGGTTTTGTTTTCTCTTCATTTCTGCCAGTTGAGACTTACGCTCTTTTGCAGACAGCCATGTATAACTGTTGTTTTATCTGACATCTCTAGGAATTTGGAGCTATCGGACACTGGTGGCAGGAAGATTTACATTTAGTTAGAGTGCCATGACACCAAGAGTCCTGGAAATGTACTCCATGTGAGAGGGGAAAAAATAAGCCACCAGCCTGTTGAAAGCTACTATTTTAGAGTTTTGTTATGCTGTAGTCAAATTAGATCACTAACCGATCCTCACTTTGAAAAGCAGATCAAATCAAATACAGAAAATACAAACTAAGAGTTGGAAGAAAGCATTTTGTAAAAAGGTATGAAGGTAAAAATTCAGTAAAACTTACTGCAAGTGGGGAGCTTTGCGGGGTTCCTTTAAAACACAGGCACTGGGAAAGGACTTGGACAAAATCTCACAGGCAGTGAAGATTTCTTTACCCGTAACTGCTGGACTGAAAGGTACTGGATAATCAACCGATTTTATTTGTATTTGTAGGACTGAGAAGAAACCTCTCTACACTTCCACCTCTTATAAGGAGAATGCAACCAATAGAGACCTGAATTGTTCTAACGTTTTCACTGTGTGTCTCCAGTTATCAATGATTAACCGTAGCAAGTAGGATGAAGCAGAGGCCTGCCATTTTGTGCTGAGAAAATATTAACCTTTAATTATGGGACTCAATTCCTGGCCATACCTTTGCCATTTGATCTTTGTTTGCTCTTCCTACAACATCAGCATGACGGCAGTGAGGCTGCTCACCATTCAACATTTTATTTCTGCTTTTTAACACCTAACCAAGAGTACAACTAATTTAAACAGTATTCCTAACAGCAAACAATTGCATTTTAGATAAAATACGTTGGCTTTTCTCAAATTTACAGGGTATAATATCAATTTAATTGAGACACACAATCTCCGTCAGGTGGCTCTAGTTCAGTTATCCTGTTCCAAGGAGAGTGGGCTCAGGGTCCACCTTTCATCCCTCTGCTCCCCCAAACCTCCCCTTTCCTGCTAGGTCTGCCCCCAACCACAGGACACTAACTCCAAGAACTAGGTGTCTTCCTTAAAGCAAGCAGTGCTAGTACTGTATGAATATTACCTCATGTTAATCATCTAACGACTGTAGCAGAGTTGTACTCCAGTCTATCCAGAGCACTTACTTCCTGTCCTGAAGTCTATTTTCCCTATGGTTACAACATGTAATATGAAGTGACCATGTCTACTTTGTAGAGAAAATCATGTGATCGCTGTCAGATGGCACAAAGCAGCAGCACTGCAACAGGAACCCAGAGCTCTGATTCTGAGATCAATACTCTTCTCTGCGGTCATTATGCCATCATACAGTCACCAATCACAGTCGTATTTAGTGGACAATTGGCTCCACCCAGCAGTTACTTTCTTTATATTCTTATTAGTAGGAAACACAGTGAAGTAGTAAACAATCCTTAGAAATACAATGGCAATTAAAATTTCTTAAAAAAAAAAACTTAAAAATAAGGGTGGCAGAGGGGAAACAGGTGAGAACATGACTGGGGTTTTTTACATTTCTACTTCTCACCTTTGCTCCAGATTATTGTCCACTGAGGGGGGAGGGGATTCTATTTAGAAACAAAAGTAAGATTTTATTCTTTCAACAAAGTGTGTCATGTCAGACACTGAACTTACATAGAGGAATAAACCAGTCTCTATCTTCAAGGGGCTCATAATCTCAAAGGGAAAGACATGTAGGTAATTAGAGATATATTTAGCACTAGTAACAGTGTCAGAATGGAGTGAAAGACACATTTATGACATAAAGACAAGACCGACTTTACCTAGGGGTTCCGAGATCTAGATCCTGTTGACTTGACATCTAAACTGAGTTTCGAAGAATGAGGTATTTCCTGAGCCCTTAATTTGTGCAGATAGTGTGCTGAGTGGTTTATGTGGATTATCCAATTAGGTCCTCATTACAATTTAGGAGGTGGGTAACTCCAGCTTACAGGTGAGTCCAGGCGGTGGGACCTGGCACTCTCACCTGGCACTCGCCATGCTCCGGGCTGTGCTCCACTGACAGGCTCACGCCCCTCCCAGCCCCCCCTCCCCCCAAGACCTCTGGCTGCAGTTACACTGGGAAAGGGATTGAAGAGACTGTAATATTCTCATTTACATACAAGGAACTGGAGGTCAGAACGCTTCTGGAATTAGCCAAAGGTCACATAACATACAGAGACATCCTTCATTCTCTCAGGGGCCTGGCTGGTGTATGATCACTTATTCCTGAAAATTCCTTCTCTTCCCTGCTTTCCCTTCAGCTCCTTCAAACATTCCACTGGCACGGAGAACAAACGGTCTCAAATGGCTTACCAGAGGGTGAAGTCCTTAAATGAGTACAGCCCAAGGACACATGACTCAATAGGGTTAGCTTGTATTTAAAACAAGATATTTACTATAAATATCAGTGTTTTATAAGCAATGACCTGAAAACACTGCGAAACCAGCAAAACAGGTTGGCCAACTTCTATCTATGAGCACCGCTTCTTCCGTAGCCGACCTCTTACATACAGAAGCAGATAATGGGCACAGACTGGAAGCCCAGGACAGCCCACACAACCTGGGGAAAGGCCTGTGCTCTGCTCCGTCCCCCTTACGGTGACGCACGACACGGCCACAGGAGACTGCTGAGCGCTCTGGGCAGTCCTTCCCTAGCGTCAGCACCCCGGGAGTCTGCCTCCCGCCTTGCCTGAGCTGCCTGAGCTGTGTCCAAACGTGTTTAACATATAACCAAACACTACAACTTCCCGCTTGTGCTGAAGGTAAAAGTCTTGACTGCTTGTGTGAAAATAAAGTCTGAATAACTTCCTTTGGTTCATAATAAAAACCGTCATTCTTACTGAACATGCAGTTTTGAAAATATACTCTCTGTTAAGCGTACGGCTCCGATTCTAATGCAGATGGCACTGCTCAAGGATACGGTGCAACTATAACATCTTACTCTGGTTTAGGCTGAACACACAAATAAAGAGAAAGGTTATGCAATTTTCTTGGTATCACTGCATCTATTTCCCATCATAAAGTGAAGGTCCCATTCTAAATCCTATTGATTCCAGAATCGTAACAATATGAAAACTGACAGGAACCAAAAAATACCAGGAAACTTATCAAAAGGACAAAAGTGTACATTTATTTGGCAGCACAGCACACACTGGTTCTGTGAAAGCATGGAAGTCAGAATCACACACGAATCACACCCTTCTGAACCATTACGGATGTTCCATTCTAGGTTGACATACTTCCTGAATACGAAGCACGGCACGCCGTCTGCAGTCAGGAGTCTCCATCACTGTAACTGCTCCATAACTACACGTAACTTAACTTTTCTGAGTCCCAGGCCCCTCAACTGCAAAAACTCGTAACACTTTGAAGGGCAGCTACAAGGCTTAGAGGAGAGCACATATAAACGCATCTAGATAAATATCAGTACCACAATAGGGTTTCACACACACTGTGGTCTTTGCGAATACAGAGTAATAATGAAACACATATTTAAATGAGTGACACTTCAGAACACCCGAGGACTAAGTTTTTGATTTTTTTTTTTTAAAGTTTATTTTTGAGAGAGAGAGAGCACACCAAGAGAGGGAGGGGCAGAGAGAGAGGGAGACACAGAATCCAAAGCACACTCCAGGCTCTGAGCCGGCAGCACAGAGCCCTATGTAGGACTCGAACTCATGTACTGTGAGATAATGACCTGAGCTGAAGTCAGACTCTTAACCAACTGAGCCACCCAGGCACTCCAAGAATAGGTTTGTTAATGCAAAAATGAACTGATAGACTTTCTTTTTAGTATGTTTTATAATTTAAAAAAATAATCTGAATAAATGTCTAAAAGAGATTAAGTGACTATAAAATAAAATTTGAAATGTGGTCTGTTTCTCCGAGTTTTTTTCTTCTTTCTCAGTATATAAACTACTGATGTCATATAATCAATGGCATTTCTCAGCTTTGATGGAATCTAATTTGAAAAGATTAAAATGTAATTTTAGGATAATATATTTATAATACTGAAGGTGGAAAGGGTCTACCTAAAGAAAGACAACAAAACCCAGAAGTCACAGATTATTACACAACAGTTTTAAATAAAGTTAAAAAACATGACAGATAAGGAGGAAATACTTGCAATGCATACGACATAGCAAGAGAAAAAAGTGTCCAAAGTACATAAAGTCTCTAGAAAGCAGAAAGAATTAGGAAGCCAGAAGAAATATGAGCAAAAGATATGAACATGTAATCCAAAAGAAGGACAGAGGGGCACCTGGGTGCTTCCGTCGGTTCAGCGTCTGACTTTGGCTCAGGTCATGATCTCGCGGTTCGTGGGTTCAAGCCCTGCGTCAGGTTCTGTGCTGACTGCCAGCTCAGAACATGAAGCCTGTTTCAGATTTCAGATTCTGTATCTCCCTCTCTCTGACCTTCCCCTGCTCATGCTGTCTCTCTCTCTCAGAAATATATTCAAAAAAAACTTTTTTAATTAAAAAAAAACAAAAGACAGAGAGAAAGAAGGGGGGGATGGAGGGAGGAAAAAGGGAGGAAGAAAGAAGCCAATACAGGCATGAAAACATGTTAACTTCACCTTTAGACAGGTGAATCAGCCAGGAGGTACAACTTTGTAACTATCCACTCCGCAAAAGTGAACAAGACTGCTGATGCCCTGGCAATGATGTGAGGAAACAGGTACTCTCTTATAGTTAAAGTATAAACTTGACACAGATTCTCTGAGATTCACTCAGCAAGATCCGTTAAGTATTTTAGACAGACATCTTCCTTGCCACAGTGATTGCACCTTTACCAGTTGCCCTGTAGAAATAGTTACACTGTGCATCAACATGTTGGTATTTCCTAGGACTGTTAAAACAGTGAAATCCTGGAGCAACCAACCTACAGGCCCACCAACGGGGAAGTAAATATGTTATGGTACATTTTGGAACTAAAAAACTAGTGATGCAGAGATACAAAAAGTTCTCTTAAATGCAGGGAAAAAAAGGTACATGCTACATACAGTGATTCCATGATGTCGGAAGTCCCACTCACGCCCAGAGGGTATATGTGTGTAAAACCAGGAAAAGAATTTGGAAGGCCGTGCACAGCTCACAATCTAGAGTATAACAGAGGAAGGTGTGCCACCTGAGTGTGAAGACAGAGAAGGGACGCCTGCACATTTTACTCTAAATATACAAAATGGCCAAACATTTAGGAAGTTATCTAGAAACAAAAGATTTGCCAATACCCAGTCCCCAAACTCTATTTCTCATTCATCCTGACAGGCTTACTTAGAAGTAATGAAGTATTAGCAGTATCCTGGCTAAAATGGAACTTTCCTGTGAAACTGACTACATGCCAATAGAGAATTTTAAGCAACTGGCTGTTAAATATAAATTGGACACTGAAAACAAAAATTTTCACAGATAAGCTACAGAACAAGAAAAACGTGTGAGGTCAAAATAAAGGTTGACGTACACCTTTAGGGACCTTTCATACTTTTTCAAAGAAACCTTATGAAAATCTTTTCTCCCCTTGGCTGGGGAATTTGGACTTTTATAAAATTTGCATGGAGAACAAGTAGCAAAGGAACTTCCGCAAATTACTTTTATAAAACAAAACCAACAGCTCAAGCCCTGTCTTTCAATATTTTCACATGGACAAATACTGAACACAGCTTTATAGTCTGTGAAGAATCCCTTTGAAATAAGCAAGGAAAAGGTCAGAACTCTTAAGCCAGTTATACTTACATCTGGTTAGTCCCGGGACAGGTCAGTGGTTGGACGGGTTCTACGGCTAAGATTTTGATTCATGGAACAGTTTTACTTAGTCTCATAGAAATAATATGTATTAAATTATAAAAACACCTTCGGGACTGGTTCTTTTCCATAAAATTAAAGGAAGTTAAAGCTAATATTAAAAAGTAATCCTAATTTATATACTTATAAAAATCCTAAATGTGAAACTGCTGGTTTTATAATGTATTAGTTTTCTGAAGAATTCAAAGTTATTAACAAAACCTACCTTTCATGTTCATTCAGATTTTGATACTAGCATATTTCTAGTTTAAAAAAAAATCTCAGTATGCTTTAACAATAAAGAAATTATATAGTTGGTTACTATCATTTTGCGTAAGATTTCGTACTGAATAACAGTTGGCCCTTTATCAAAAAGTGAAATCACTTTTTAAACAGAAGTAAAAGGAAAGCTCTCATATATCACAGATTCTGCATTTTAACTGTCATTTCTTGATTATTGAAGTTGATAGAAGTCATTTCTTGATTACTGAAGTCGATAGGAGTCATTGGCTCAGAAACCTACATTTCTACTACTGAGAATCAGTGAGATAAGAAAAGACATAATGAAATCAAAGTTAAATACCTGATGCCAAATGCTTAGCATATAATTATGAGGAAATGTATCAAATCTTCAAACTTGACAGAAAATGGTTCAAGTTTAATTTCAGGTCATATTCAAGTTTATCAAAGACACCCACCTCTATATTATATTCTCTATCCATCAATTAAATAAATGGCAACTGTCAAAAAGGGGGGGAAATGGGTACCTTTTCACATTTATCCGGATGTTGTAACATTTCACACTTAAAAGCACATGTTCATCGGAATAAAATTTACATTATATTTCTAATAAATGTAGTTTTTAAAGACATCAAAGCATGTATTTTCCCGTAAGGGTGGTGGACAGCTCAGTGTCACTTAGAATGTTTCGCTGTATTACGTAAAACAAGATACACACTCAAATCTTAAGTACAGTGCATCTTTCACATGGAGCTTTTCCCAAAGGACAACATGGGGTGCAGCTGGCAGCCCCGGGAGCAGAGACTCTGTTGGAGGGTCAGGAAGGCAGGTGAATGCTCACATGACCCATTAACATGGGTCAACATGGGACACATGACCATTAACAAAGGAAAAAAACCCAATGAATCAAAAAGCACAGCCTAAACCACATGACATGCTAAATATTTTTTAATATCTGAGAATATAAAAGAAAAATTCTGTATTTTACTCACTGAGGTTCAAAGATGAAGCTATGGGGAACTCCCAAATACACCTGATTTGAAAATCACATTTTATAAAACTACCTTTACATTAGATACTGCTTCCATAATGCACTGCAAGGTTTCACCTGATTGAAAGTTATAAAATAATTGAAGGGTTTGCCAAGTTTCAAAGGAACACGTAACGCTCACTGAAACGTTTTGTATCCAAGTACATAATAGCTCTCAGTAACGAATAATAAAGAAAAAACTACGCTATTTTAAGAATAAAATATAATCGGACAAACAGCACTCACCTTTTCAACAAGTCCCATGCTTTAATTTCACATTTTTATTTAATTGTGAATTTCTCATGACAGGTAGATATATTCCACAGGAAAAGCATCCAATGTGGGGATTCTAATTCACGACTTAGGCAAAGACAAGGATTTACAGACACTGGCCAAGTTGCTGAACTAACGAGCACTTCTTAAGCAATTTTGATTTTGGGGTTGTTTGTTTTTTTAACTTACCAAAAAATGAAAAGTTCCTGGAATAGAAAAACAAAGCTACCGAAAATTTTAATTACTTTCAATAGAAGCATGAAACGTAAAAGTATAATTTAAACCAAGCATGGCATACTTAGAACTAAGTATTAGGTTAGGTGATCTTTAAATTATTTGAAATGTATGACACAATTATACTCTGGGAAAAATAACGAATGGATAACAGACCTGTTTTTAAAATAATAATAACAGCTACCACTTACAAGAGCTTAGCAAGTACCAGGAATTGCTCTAACACTTAACTGGTATTAACTCATTTGGTCTACCAGTAGGCAGGTACCGCTCTAACCCCTCCCAATAAAGCAGGCTCATGCGGGTGGGGCACGGGCAGTGTTAACCTCTCGCAGTAGCACAGCGGGCAGCACAGCAGTAGCACAGCGGGCAGCACAGCAGGTCAGGGCAGTCCTGTCCTAGGAGGGGAGTGCAAGAGGGTGGGCTTCACAACTCCTTACCACTAAATTACAGTCTTGTCAAAGATGTAAACCATTTCCATTAAACCAGAAAGGTGGTGTCATCATTGCTGGTAAAATAAAAACAAGTTATGTCTAATTAGACCTAACAGCAATTACTTATTGAATACCCAAAATGTGCTATGTACTATTACCAGCATCGTAGCTAGCATTCATAACAGCTAACATCTTAGCAATTATTCAGTGCTTAATGTGACAGGCGCTGTCCTAATGAACCACTTTACGCCCATCGTCTAGATCAATCCTTACAACAAACGGTCCTGTGAAGTGGATGCCTACCTATTTTGCAGAGGAGAAAAGCACTGAGGTGTGAAACAGCGCCTCTCCCTCCTCCCAATCACCTAGCAAATTCACTGCTATAGCCCAGATGGCTACAAATGTCTGACATCAGGGCCATGTTTGTTGAAGCACACTGCAATGCCTACAGATCTGACCTCGACTACCACATGAGGACATTTTTTTGTCCTAATACCTAGAGTTTTCTCTCAGTTAGAGATACAGTAACACAAAATTAAAAGATATGACAGTCATTTAAATTTATAGTAATTACACCAGAAAAAATATATCAAGCCTCTCTGTCCTATTCTTGCCAAATCCCACATCAATGTTAATGGTTGACATTCCAAGTCAGCTGAAGTAAACATCCACCTCCCAGCCAATCCACGTATCACAGCTGAGTGTAGGATGTTTACATGAACTGCAACTTGGTTTACGAAACCCTTTATTGTGTTTCTATTGGCCCTTTACCTGATGCTCAAATTGATATTAAAGTACATATGATGACTTATTCTAGTTTTCAAAAGATAATTTTGTAGAATCTGTTGAAAAAAGAATTGGTACAGTGATCCACATAAATGAGGCAAGAGTCAGAAGGTATTTTGAGACGAAGTTTAGAATCCAAGGGAAAAGGCAGAAGTGATATTCTTTTCACTGAAATAATTTATGGCAATGTATGCAGACATCCTGTGAATGTTCCAAATCTAAATGTGGCTAATTTTACAGCCTCTCATCTTCCTATATCCCTCTCTTCAAAACAAGTGAACTTGCATTTATAGGAACCCATCTGATGGCCAGTACAATGCATCAATCAGCCATTCTTCCTCATGAAGAAGATTCCCATTTGGGGTAAAAGACAAAATTAATGAAACACCTCTGAGGAGCCCCAAGCTTCGCGGTGGCGCTTCTCACCCTCATTTCTCCTCCTCCTCTCCCTTGTGGCTCCGCTCTCCCCCACGTTCACAACTCACATACTTTCACCGCAGGAACATCTCTCCCACACTCTCGGGTCTCTCGACCTTGCACTGTCCCGACTGCTGTCAAGCTGCCCACAGAAATCCCTTCTCCTCCCTCTGCATTCCTCTGATTAAACTAGTATCACTGCAAACATCGCTACTAAGCGTAAGAGTGGCCTTATCAATACGCTTACATTAAGAAGAGGAAATCCTGAGGGGCGCCTGGGTGGCTTAGTCGGTTAAGCGTCCGACTTTCGCTTAGGTCATGATCTCGTGGTTCGTGGGTTCGAGCCCCGCGTCGGGCTCTGTGCTGACTGCCAGCTCAGAGCCTGGAACCTGTTTCAGTCTGTGAATCCCTCTCTCTCTGACCCTCCCCTGCTCGCTCTGTCTCTCTCTCTCTCCTAGAAATAAATAAAACATTAAAAAAAAAAAAAAAAAAAGAAGAGGAAATCCTGAAATCTGGAAGTAAAATGAAACTTAAGAGCCACTGCTGGCAAAGTCTGAAAAATCTTTGGAATTTTAAAGGCATCCTAAGGCTCTACCTGGCCTGGCCTCTGGTTTCCTTGGGGCTACTTTTCACCCAGTATCAGGTCTCAAGATTAGACACAAACACACACACACACACACCTTCCTTCTTCACCTCTAAGTGTACTGTTTTTCTGTTTGAACTACTCCTACTGCAACAATATTTTTTTCTTCTTCTGCTTTTCTTTGCAAATATATTCAAATAGGGTTTCCTGGGCTGGGTATGATACTTTCTCTGGGAGAAAAATGGGCCTCAGGTTTCTGACAAACCTTTTTAAAAAATCAAACTTTTGGATTACTACATGTTTTTAAGTTTGGGATTTAATTTTTTTTTTTCTTTAGTCACTACATGGGCAAATACCAAACAGGGAAAGAATGTTAAATGAAATGAGCCCCATGGCCCTGTGAAAGTATGGACCCAGGACAGCAGTGTCTGTGGCACCTGTTTAGGGGGAAATGCACATTCCCAAGCCACACCCCAGACCTCCTGCGGCAGAAATTCTTGAAGGGCCCAGCAATCTGTGTTTCATAAGCACTCTAGGTAGTTTTGATACACACTAATATTTGAAAACCAGTAGACTTGTTTCACCAAATACGTTGGAAAGTCAAAGCAGAAACAGCAGTGAACGTCAAATTATTTGGAAGTCCGTAATATGCCAAAGATAAGGAAAAAAAGCCAACGTCAAAACATGTATCATGTGTCCACACATAATTAACAAAGCTTGGGAAACTGTGGCAGTGATGATCTGAAACAGCATCATTTAAAAAAGTAATTAAGCTCAGACTGATACTCAAACTTAAGAAAAAAAAGAAAATTCCTGAATACCAACAGCCCGAGAAACACATTCATTCCCTGAAGTTTTCGTCAGAGGGGTGAAAAGAAGCCAGAGTCGGAATGTGCCCCATGCCACGAAGAAGGCACGCTGGGAACTCAAGTCTACCACACACTGCTGGGCTACCCGAGCCTCTGATGGGGCAGAATGAACTCAGATATGGAGACCAGTGAGGACCATCCAATAATGTGATGTTAACCAAGAATATTTGTACACAGCACATCTAATTGGAAATGAACCTGACACAATTCAGTAGTTTAGCTTGTTTGCTTAAGAAAGTAATCCACAACTACTAAAATACAGATTAAGGGAAAAAAACCTTGTCATTTTCAGAATGGTGTTCCGTAACTAACCATGTTTTGCTTTTAATATTAATTTGATCAAACATCTTAAGTTGTAGTTTCTGAGCTTTCTAACACCTGTCAATAAAGACCACACACTTCTCCCAAAAAAATAAATTAAAAGAGAGGGAAACAAGTCGTTACACGTTTACTGGAAAATACTGACAATCTAACATTTTAAGGCATTTGTTCTCAATAATTAATTGCTAAATTTGCAGGCCAATGGGAGTCTGTGGTTCTTCAAAATTAAAACATGAAGAAGTCATCTGCAAATGACTGAAAGGCTGCACTCAAGTACACTGAAGCAAGGGCATCCAGAATTAAAGCTGACATGGTCCCTGATCCACCTCATTAGGGCAGAATAACATAGAACAAATGTTACATAACACTGATTGTACCATTAATCCTGCAACATCACTGGATAACTGGACTGGCTGGGAAGAGTGTAACAACTCTGCCCCCCTTTTAGCTTGGATTTGGGTTATCATTATGAAAAACCTTCCAAATCAGCTGTGCAAACTATTACACTAGGCAGTTTCTATCCATCTTGCTGAATTTTAAAGCAGTAACCAACTTCTTCATAGGAAATAAACAATGTCACCTGATTTAACAACATAATCCTATTCCCGGAGAACTCTTTCTGCCTTTGCCAGGGGATACTTCTAGGGCTCAGAAGTGCTTCTGTCCATTTGCCGCTATCTGGAATCTAAGGCCTCCAACACGCTAAAACAGGCGCGGAATATGCAATAAATCTGCTTCATTAAGAGTTCAGTGGGGACGCCTAACAGGTGCTATGGTCAAGCTTGAACATTATCCTTACAAGTTGCCAGGCTACTTGGGTCCAAAGCAATAAACTACCCTCCCTCCCTCCACTCTTAACCAAGTAAGTCTCATAAACCACCACTCTCACAAAGAAGGCTTTAAAAATAAACGCTGTAGCATGGATACATCTGGAATAGTTGCATTATAACCCAAACTTCCATGTGCTCATCTGCATTAAGAATAGAAGGAAAGAGCAGATAGTTCTGCAATAATGTAAGATTGTTAATTAGAATCCTATACACACAAGGTGCATCACTTGATGTTTATGGCGAGAAAACAGAGTTACGAGTGTCCGTGCCCTCAGAAAGCCTGCCACACAATCAAAAACGACATGCATTTAAAACGAGATTAGTAAGGACTTCATCTCTTGGTTTAATTACGTGTGAATCTAACAAAGTATGATGGTCAGCGGTAACAGTAATAAATTGTATGAGCACCAATGCTTTATTAAAGAGAGAAATGTCAATAAAACACACGTTTCCCAGGGTCTAAAGGACAGATAAACATAAGAAACCAAATTTTTTAAACTCAGAAAGAAAGCTGCTATAAAATTACACACGACCAACCGATGGGTCCACAACGAAGCCTTCTACGAGAAGAGCCTGTAACACTCAGCTGCTGGGGGACACCACACGCAGACAGGCACCTGCTCACTAGGCGTCTGTCCGTCATGGCCAGTGCCCAGCGGGGAAGGCAGGGAAGGGCAAGGGAGGACCTGAAATGCTCCTGCCCACCGAGGAGCGCTATGCGCAGGCCCTGCCATCTGCAGCCATGCACGTTTCCCACGGGGCGTTCAGCCAGGAGCTATGACATCACTCAGGGAGAGGGGTGCAGGAGCTGGCGGGTGAGGAGGGACACCACGTTCAAGCACACACAGCACTTCACGACAGAGAAATGGAAACTTCTAGGTTGTATGTTGCTGGGTGGTGGCGGCGATACATCTCATCTGCTGAATTTCTAAGGGAGATCAGTCTCTCGAACTGCTGGTTAGTTCAATTCCAGCCTACTTGGAAAGGCCGTAAGGACCAGAAGTTCACTGACAGGGCAAAACCAAACCCAACAACCCCCCCGGCGGAAACAGAGTCTTCCACTAAATCCTCTCTGGCCCAGCAGGAGCCTGGCTCGGGGAGGCTCGGGGAGGCTTGAGCAGGCTCAGGCCGGTTGGTGGCAGCCCCACTGACCTCTGTTAAGCGGAGGAATCCAAACATTTATGGTGTTTCCCGTGCATTCGCCAGCCTCGCCAACGCCACTTCTTGGGCACAACAAGAGCAAGTGGTGCCTGTGAACAGCCGGTGGCAGCAAACATCTGACTGAAAGCTTTGCCACGTCTTCCAGCTTCCAGTCGGGGATGTTTACAACCACAGACTTTCTGAGCAGCAGAGTCACAGAAGGAAGAGAGACACACATGCGGACTGTCGCCTTCTTTATCTAATGATTTACAGGCTTTTTAGCACTGAATGGTATCTGTGACATTTTAGAACAAAAATTAATAAGGTTAATGTTATTAATTAGTTAGCAAGAGAATCAGCTAACTGGTTCATCAGCTGCAATTCTTCCTAAACGGGCTAATTAACAAAGCACATACACACTGTAATTTAACTTGGCAAACATGCAAAATTAAATATATTACCCAGTTATCCTACACGATGATCTATTTTTCTACTTAATGCATGCAAAAATCAGTGTTTCTTTAAACCTGGAGTTCCAAAATCAGTAAGAAACAACACAGCAGAAGGACGATCCTAATAAGCAGAGTGACCACCCATCCATCCAAACTGGTCTCAGTTTACACCTGTTGCCCGGGATTGTTATGAAAAGTGACTTCCTTCACTGATGAAAGTGTCCTAATCGAGAGCACAAATTAGAAGGTTTTACTTGGCAGTACGTCCACACTAAGAGTCTTGTGTTTTTCCCCTCTCTCCGTTAGGTTTAGGTTAGGGATGGACAGCCCAGGGCAAGGAACAAAGCAAAGCAGAAAATAAGGGGAACAAACTCATGAACTTGGCTTTGTTCATACAGCGATAAACTGAAACCATTTTGTTTCCCACACTACTCACCTGAGAGAAGGAAGACAGTCAATCTGCATTCCATCAGAAGCACACTTGCTTTAATCTAAAATAAACATATGTACACGCATACATAAACACATCCTTTAGGATAACTATGGAAAACACCAATACACACAAACATATTAATTTTCTAACATCAATTTTTTTTGGAGTTTGTGGAGTTCTCTGGAGTAAGAGATTGCAGGTACTGATATTTTCCCTGTGGTAGTATCTAAAGGTTGTTCTGTAACAGTGTTTTTGTTACTGTTATAAATAAGTCTTCCCCACTGTAGAATATGGAAAACAGCGAAGAAAGGGCATCTGGTCTCTATGGATACAAGATGACCTTCATTGTTTCTGAAGACAAATACTTAAGAAAAAATCCAGTGACTACTTTTAACAAAGACTAGTCAAGCTGTTCTACAACTGAAAACCTGCAGATTTAAATGAGAAAAAGTTATTTCATGCTGAGGCAGGCGCCGGGTTACGGGGTTACGTTACATGGACGTGAACCAGTTACTACCAAGTCCTGCCTTCAATTTCCCTCTCTGTTCTCAGTGTAATCTTTTGTTGTTGTGAATGTTTGTTTGTTTTTGAGAGCAAGCAAGTGGGGGAGAGGCAGAGAGAGGGGAGGACAGGGCATCTGAAGCCGGCTCTGTGCTGACAGTATGACCCTGACGTGGGGCTTGAACTCACGAACCATGAGATCATGGCCTAGGCTGAAGTCGGACGCTTAACTGACTGAGCCACCCAGGCGCCTCTCTCAGTTTGATCTTCTTAAAGGCTGATCACAAGAACAACACTTTTATCAGAGCTACTAAGTTTAACTCAGACACAACACACAGAAACTTCTCTTCAGGGTTAGGAGGGGACACTGCCAAGCACCACACACTCGTACACAATGTGTTCTTCTTGAAGGCGGCTGAAAGTGAGTGGGACAGAGAAGTATGCTACAAGAAAATCAATTACAAAATGCCTTCTAGACACCATCTTCAGTTATAACATATAATCTGTACTTCATAAACGTTCTTTAATTTTGTTCTTTTATTCTTAACCAAACGCACAGCACGCTGTGGCTCAAGGTTTACCATTTCTGACACACTGACTTCCAGCTGTCACAAGTGTATTTTTCAGCACTTGAGTTGCCCTTCTTACCACCCGCTCTGCCACTTCCATGTTTCTGTTCACAAGTCTTAATAAAAACGAGCAAAGTACACATACGTACAAAGCTATTTTAACCTTCAGCAGTTATCCATTTATATCTAATTTGAAATGCTGTTTTCAGACGCAGGAAGTCTACTTGATGCTGTACTTGAGAAAAAGAATCCTCTTGTAAAGATAAGAGGTGTAAATGGCTCTCCTGCAGTCCTTCACAAACCTGCGTGTTACAGCTTCCTCAGACACATCGCATCTGTTCAATCAAATTCTTGCACTTCCACTGACACACTAGCTGTGTGACCTTGAGTAAGTCACTTACCTACTCAGAATCAGTTTCCTAATCTGTAAATTTCGAAAACCTATAATGGAATTACAAACAATTCTCAGAGTGGTTGTGAAGATTAAGTAAATAAAACTATGTGAGTATAAACGCATATTTGAAACAATAAAGCACTACACAATAGTGCTGGTGTTTACAGACTTGTACTCCAACTTTCTTGAAAACCTTACCCCTGAAAGCAAAAGTCTGCATGTGAAAGGTGACAACCGTGAGGGTGACCATCTGTGTGAATACAGGAGTTCTGCAGAATTCTCCTGGACACAGCATTAACTTGGGCAAAAAACAAAACAAAACTCAGGCAGGCAAGCAGACAAAAACAAGCCGCTGGCTTCCTCTGCACTGGCTAACTGGGAGCACCTGTAAGTGATGGTATACTGACAATAATATTAGAAACGCTGCTGGGGCACCTGGGTGGCTCAGTCTGTTAAGCATCTAACTCTTGATTTTAGTTCAGGTCATAATCTCACGGTTCATGAATTGGAGCTCTGTGCTGACTGTGTGGAGCCTGCCTGGGATTCTGTCTCCCTCTTCCTCTGCCCTTCTCCTACTCAGTCTCTTCCTCTCCCTCCCTCTGTCTCAAAAATAAATATTCTTTAAAAAATATTAGAAATACTATTCATTTTTTACTTTTTAGTGCAGAAAATCTTATTTGAAATGTTAATTTAAATAGCACGTTAAGAATTAGTGTGCAAATTAAATCAGAACCAAACTATACTTTATCTGCTCAAATGCAAAAAAAAAAAAAAACCATTTCTTTCAGTGTTTCAAACAGTTGTGTTAATTAAAATTCCGTTGTATTTAAAGACCCAAAAGGTCTTCTTTTTCATTGGCAAGTACTATCAAAGCTCCTTGTGATTCGGGGACAGGTTTCAAAGCAATCGGAGCAGTCTTACATCAGGTTGGAGTGAGAAAGCCCTTGGAGGTGAACCCGTGGCGGTGCACCGCTCAGGCCACGGCTAACTCGACGTCACCGGATGGGAATGGCGGCCACGAGTGCACCACGAGTCCCCGGGAGCACGAAGGCGGGCGGGAGGCTTCCGGGCAGGCCGGGCCCTGCTCCCCGCAGGGCCTGCTGGCTCCGCGTGGGCGGCGCCGGCTCCCGGGCGGGGCGCGTCGGGACTCCGCCCCCCGCAGCGGGCGGCACCAGCACCAGGCCCAGCCCCCGCGGAGGGGCAGGGGCGGAGGGGCAGGGGCGGAGGGGCAGGGGCGGAGGGGAGGACACCCGCGGCAACTTCTCCACCAACTATAAGCCGTAAGAGGCGCATCTGGCCTCGACTACTGACGGACTGAGTGACCGGGGCGCGAGTGGTGAAGGCGGCCGTAAGGTGCCTCTTCTCACAGAAATGACAATCTCAAGGAAGTTATCGGTCGGATGAGGCCGGGAGAGGAATTTAGAAGAACTGCTGATGATTTTTAAGACGCAAAACAAGATTAGGTCCTGTGTAAAGACGAGGCTGCAGGTAGAACACGGCGATGTGGAGGGAGGGCGGCCGGGGCGTAAGGCTGGGCAGCAGTCCGATCACGAACTGCCTCATGATGACCAGGAGGGTTTTAAAAAAAAATACAGATATGAGATCTACTTAAAGGTAGAAATCTGCAGTTTCTCAGTCTACACAGCAGGTGTTAATAATTTGTTGAGAAATCCTGAATTTTTTTTTAATTTTTTAATCTCTGGCATTTACTTGTTACCATATGATATTCTTTTCCTCTTTATTAAAAGCAGAGGGAAGGATACATTCTAGGGAAAGATTCCAGTTCATTTAGGTCTAACTCTAGTTTTGTAAAGGCTAGCACCTGAGTTGTGGCGCTATCTTCTGAAATGGGGAGTTTTAGATAGTTTTAAAAAACAAAAAAGGCATTACAAATAAAGAGGGGAAAACCAACTGTCAGCTACTTAGTGGAAGGAAGTAGTACATGGGAGACAGACAATTAAAAACTTGAGTCAAGGCCAGTGAGATATTTGAGAAGAAAAAGTAGGAGTATGAACTTGTCAATTTCCTCAAAGTTTCAAGAGAGAAACTTGTCAAGTAGCTTGAGGATGGAAGGAATAAACAGTAATAGAATTAAGATCACTCTAATTATAGTCCAAACAAACCCCATAAAGAGGAACCCACACATGCTGAAGACTACGAAGCAGAGTTAAAGACACCCCTCCGATGTAGGGAACCGAAAAGGGTACTCAAACAGCCATCAGTTCTAGACAACCAACGCGTGTGAAAAGCACTGAAGGTGTCACTCAGGATGCCACTGGGGGAAATCTGCATAATTCGTTGTAAGAAAAATAAAAACTTTAACAACCAAAATACTGTCATTCTCAGTCCAGAAAAAACCCGTGCTTTCATACAGCTAGGATGGCAGGGGAAAACCGCTCCGCAGGCGCTGGCACACACATTTCTCCTCCATCTTTTGCAATGACGAGCGTAGTACATGGTATCCAGAGTGTCTCACTGTGACACAATGATCACACGCACCCCTAATGCCATACTTCTTCTGTTCATGTCTCCAACTCCAACACGGAGCCTTCGCCCTTTTAAATTATATATATATATATATATATATAACTTTTGGAATCCTCTTCCAATAGCCCACTCTTAGGAAGAAGTACTGGACGATAATTAAGAAATGTGAGAGCTTTACAATCAGACAGAAGTAGACCAGCATTTAACTCTGTGACTCTGGGAAAGGGACTTGACTTTTCTGTGGCTACTTTCCCATTTGTGAAACGAGAACTGAAAACACCTATCTTGAAGGGTTACTGTGAGGACTGATGAAACTAGTGAAATGTTCGCCAAACACGGAGCTCGGCAGCAGGCATGCAGCTAATGTGCAATAAATGGAAGGAGAACAGGAGAGAAGATTCTTTACCTCCTCTTTCAACTTTTTTCACACAGCGTTTCCCATGCACCATTCCTCAAATTTCCCTTTTACAAATCCTGTTTATCCTTCAAGGCCCAGTTCAGATGCCAACCTCCCCGTGAAAACGTCACCAGCAGAAGCGGCCGCTGAGATGCCTGCCGGCCGAGCCGCAGTGCCGGGAGCTGCCAGCGCCCGGCGCTTACCGTGCTTGCGGCCACGTTCTCAGGGCTCACGTGCAGGAACTCCTTGACCCCCTAAGAGCCCCGGTAGCGAGGTGCCGGTAGGACCCCGTTTCGCAGACGGAAAGCAGTCCGCTCGGAGCCCCACAGCGCCTGGGGGCGGGGCCCCGGGTGGGGGCGGGGCCCCGAACCCTGCAGCCGGCCCGGAGCCCGTTCTCAGCCCTGCTGCACGCCCCCACTGTCAGCTGAGAAAGAGCACTAGTAATTGCTGACACCTTCAGAGAGCGGATAGTTTTATATTTAGTGCAGCCGGAGATGTTTTCTACGCCAGCTAAAATCATGCACGATAGACAGCTTATTCATCTTTCATAGAAAACACCTCCATGGTTCAGTTCCTCAATCTGCACAAAATAAAGTGGGGGGGGGGCGGTGGAACAGTTATTCACACAAGTTGGTGTTATCATTTTTTAGACTGTTAGGTCCAATCCTTTCAGTTCATATGTCTAAAATTCTACCTCTCTTCCTCATAAG